ACAGGTTGAATGCATTTAGAACCAACTCTATACTAACGAGAGGTTAGCGCGATGAGTCTCCAATTCACTCTACTCATTGTGGAACCGGCAGTCCGGCTGGTAGAAACAAACGGATAAATATTCCCGGGAAGAAAAACAATGCATGTGTGTGTGTGTGTGTATCGCCGCAACTGAACACAAAACTCAAAAACTCAAGGACCCACCAGCATCAATTCGAACTTGATACATACAACCCGTCCAATTGGTGGCACGATTTCTCGGTGAGATCACAGATTTCCAAACAGATGATGATAAGCGCATGCACACAAGTGTTGCCANGTTGCCAAAAGGATGGTAACAGACACCAACCCGGACGTGAATAAAGACGAGGCTCCAATGCAGACAGATCAGAAACAAGTTATTTGAGGTAAGGCTGCGGAGATCTTAAGTTCTGATTTTACAACCATGTACTTTCGTGCACCGGCTTTGTTGGCTGTCTTTTGGTGTCCCATTTGGATAAAAGAGTAGAATGAAGATTGGAGTGTTGAAAGCAAATTCAAGCGGAAGATGGATAATTCATACAGAATGGCGATAGGAGAGTAATAAGTAGATGCACGAATGCCACTGTTTGCGACACCCAGCCGTATCGCTCAGTGTCTATGTAAAGCAATTGTACAACCAAACAGATTTACAAGGACCCGAAAGAACAATTCAGAAGTTCTACTTTTTGGGTTATAGAAATATTAACCATACGCACTCGGGTGGCGGTTTTGGTTGCTAGCTTTCGACTACCTATTTGCATGAACGAGTGATGAAAAGACTGGAATGTTGGAAGTAATGTCAACGGGAAGGTAGAGAATTTAGCTAGACCGAGGTTACAAAAAGAGGCTCAGAAGATGGACAAGTGGTGCTGTTTAGNGAGACTCAGTCATTTCACTCAGTTGATTACGCTGATCCCGAGGAAGCTAAATGTGACTTGCATCAGCGAGTCCCTTAGTCAGGACTTTTAAACCATTAAGTCCATTTCTGACCGCAACTTACCTCGGAAAATATTCTACGCTGGTGACAAGCGTAGCACATACGTGTCCCAGCTGACATAAAATATGGATGTTGGGTAATTGCTTCAGTGCATTAACGCGACTGCATAAAACTTTGCGTCTAATCGCAGTATTCTTTGTTCACAAGACTCGTGCAGCGAGGCGCAGACAGCGGTGTTCGATTAATCGTCAGTCTGTCTTTATCCTGTTCCCGTAACGGCCAAGTCTCTGGACTGCATGGCAAAACCGATCGAACTTTTACAGCATGAACTCGAGCCAGATGTGTCCATATGGCAAACGCTAACCCATGTGCATATGATTTATCCATCAAACGATAATATGTGGTGTTCACAGAAAGGTTGACCGTAGCTGATCAATCAGATAGAATCGGATGAATAATTCGACTTGGGATTTGCCCTACTAAAGAAGAGAATACATTGTATTCACTCACCACGCATTCGGCACGAATAGCGACAACGCTAACAGTCTCTTCCATGATCACGCCATCTTCACTGCTGCCCCGATTTTCATTCTGGCCTCGACCGCCAATATCCACATAAGTGCTAGCTAGGGGTTGAGAATCATCAAGTGTGGCAACCAGGCCAAGCATCACCCGTCCGGGCCAACGGCCAACAAGATGTGGACGCCCAGTGTATCCATCGTAGTGAATGTAGGCTGCAGGAATTTGACTATTCGAACCACCACCTCCTCCTCTAGCACCCGCCTCATGAACCGGTCGTACGACCAGTGCCCATACGGGTAGGAGATGAGTAACATCAAATTCCGTGACTTCCGGAAACTGGTTACTTTTCGATGTTGTCCCAGAGTTGTATTCCGCTGAATCATGACTTTCAGTTGTCGTATGTGTTTCACCCAGATAGATTCGCTGTCCGGTTCCTGGTCGCATCGTGTAGATTCTAAAGGATAAAGCATAGAGAGAGAAAATCGATGAAATAATGCATTAGAGAAGTTGGTAAATAGTTCACATTTTCGATGTGAAATATAAGTATGCATCGGCGGCACTGAGTTGAAACAAGTTTTAATTACCGGGCATGGAATACGTTCATTTGACATGCGCTCTTCAGATCGCAGTCCAATGTTTTTTGCCAAACCGGCCGTAGCATGCAATTCAGCTCCGAGATAGTCGATTCATCCGATTCATCCACACCTTCGTCCTTGGGCAAGAGGGTAAGGGGCAATTGTAGCTCATCAAACCATCTCACTGTTTTAATTAAAGTTGTCGACGCCTAGAAAACCCATTTCATCTCCGTGAAATTTTAGTTTCTGACAATTATAAAAGTCAGCACTCATAATATCATAGCATCTCCCACTCACCCCCCACCCACCCCTGAAAAAAGAAAGTCTATCTGCATTCATTTGACTGTGTCAACATACCGGATGACCCGTGATGGTGAAATGCGTGGAAATGGTTATCCACAATTACAAGTACAACATATTGGGTAATTGGCCGCAAGAATTCGCCGGTAAAACGAAGCTAAAGTTGAGACAAACATTAAAAAAAAACAGTCATTATTCAACTTCCCAAAATACTGAAGAAAGGAACAGAATTTATTTGTGAAAACAGAAAAGACACGGAAAACTTCGTGTGAGACAGTTCAATTCACTTTCTCACACCACCACGGAATTTGGTGTCATTTGGGTTGACATCGCAAGGCTAGTTCAAGCGTCCCGGTCGATTCCTGTCAGGTCAGGTCAGACATCTGAATAGGACATGTGTACAGGAGACAGGCTGTCTGTTCATTGTGCTAACTAGAAAATGCTATAGGCATTCCATGAAGGTGTGTGTGTGTGTGTATGAACGTGATTTAACACTTGCCCCATACTACCAAAGCTGCTGCCCAACCCATGAGGTGCGTCAGCCGACGTCAGATGTCATTGGATTGTCACTACAGACAGTTTTCTTTGCCATCAGTACCAAGAATGCAACGGCAGAATCAAGATCTTAGCGACATAACACTTGGAAAGTCCGGGTGATTATCAGTTCGTATTTTACCCCCCGCCCTCCTGGACAGTCGCTGCGACACTCACCTTTCACATCTTCATGTGCTTATTCGGGGACATCAACGGTACTGTACATGTTTGAGCGAAATCACGGGAAAGCGAACTGTGAAGTTTATCTAGTTCACTGTCCTAACAATGACAAAGAAACAGCATTATTCCGTTGACTTTCCACATGTTACTTACTTGACAACCAAAGAATCAGTATAGTGCAAGTGTACCACTGATTTATTGTGTAGTAGATATATTAATTTGGAAAATAGGCGTGAGACGATATTACACTATATTTTAGGTGAACCGTTCAGCTTTTTTAAGGTGATGTAATCGATGAACCTTAAAAGATGTTCTGAAAGCACGATCTAGGCTTTTTTAAGACGTTGGCACTCATTTACCTCGTTGGTGTTGACGTGCTCTCCGAACCGAGCACTGGAGAACACACCAATACCAACATTCACATGCCGAGCTACAATCAGTCCACATCATTTCCAACTCATCCACCTTTTGTGGTGGCCAGAATCAAACGTTCGGGACTCCATCTGATTGACGATCAGTTATGGTATTAGATATCGTGAATATTCGAGGTATTGGCGTACAGATTATTTTAAACTCAATAATAAAAATCAATTCTAGTAGTTCTGGTTGACAGTACACCCTTATCGAGGTGAGTAGCTTAGTTCATTGCCAGCCGGAGTGAAACCTTCCGAGTTCGTGGACTATTTCTAGTCCAAGCCACAATGAAGGAATTGGTGCCAGGATACCCGTCAAGTATATCATCCTAGACCTGATCGGTTAACCATGTTTCAGATCATCCACAGTTCAAAGCACCCCCGACAGATTGAAAATATTAGTTGACTGATTTCCCCGTGTACGTGGCGTCAACTGAAATCTGGGGAAGCACAAACACTCACTGTACAGATACAGTATTGCGGATTTTGACTAAATGATCACAAGTCGAAGCTAAAGGATAGCTAATTTTGGGAAAAGGTGTGTGTGGTTCGACCTGCAATGCGAATCCATCGAACCGAGGGAATCGAATAAAATGTCCCAGGACTCCTATACGAACTCAAAGGAACAAGTTGCATTGCCAGGAGTCAGGCTTCATCACAGAATCAATAATGTGCGAATTTTGATAATAATTGGGTCTCAACAACACCGAAAGAAGACAAATGCCTCTCGAGATATTAACATTTCGTTTAATCTCACCAATCGCTGGTGTGAAACAGACAAGCTCATTGGGTTAATGAATGCGTGTATTTGTTCTCCAGATGCACTACAAGAAGAAGAGAATTTCCCGGGGAGGACATCACTTACCAATGGTTGCCCAGAAATTCTAATGGACATCCATAGTAGGCTATTACCAAAAAGTAACCCTAGCCAAAACGTTTGAAAAAGGGTTATCTACATAGAGCTTACGTTCAAAGGTAATCCATTTACAATAATGTGCACCTCAAGTTGAGATCAACTCTTTCGGACTGTACACTCCCAGCTGATCAACTCAGACTACCTCTATTCGCGGAATTGATCTGGATAGATGTAAATGTGGCGGGCAAAACGGTTCCGTTTCACACATCATAGATGACCGAACACGTTCCAAAGTGGTTGGCAAAATAAAAGATGCAACCAATAACCGGTGGTCAGGCAATCACGAGAAATCGGGGACCATCTGTTGCAAACTATATCAGGAAAACAAAACACACAGCTGATCCTATTTCTTTTTGCAAACCACTATTACGTAAACTTTTGGCAATTAGTGAAACATTGCTAATTCGATTATATCCCCAACTGTATACGTAAAGAAGCTTTTGACACAATCAAACCATACATACATACAAACATACATACATACAAACCGACATACAATCAAACCACTTTTTTATTGCACACATTTTTGTGCAATGAACAGTAGATGGAGTTAACCTCATAATTGCATAGACTTGCTATTCAGTGATGGAAACCGGCAACCTAAGCCCCCGGGACTTGAAGTGGCAAATCACACAAGGCGCTATATCAGGTTACCGAGGAGTTGACCTTTCAGTTCTGTGTTTAGTCAGCTTTGTTTGCCTGTACGCGTTCGTTCACCATAGTTGATCAACGCAACATGCTATATACATAGACAGAAGCGATTGAGGAGATTGGACGAAATGTTAACATCTCGCGACATTTGTCTTCTTTCGGTATCGATGAAATGTGCAAATACAAGAACTTGACGTTGCGAAACGAATAAATACGACAATTCGAAATGATGATGGATTGCGCTAGAAAAATGTGAAAGTGGAGTATCATCTTAATCAGCATTCGGTAGACATGGACAGATAGCACCATGAGGGAACTGGCATTTTGCCAGTCTCGATGGGGACATGAGCGTGAATGGGAACACCGTCTTTAGCGTTTCGGACAGTACCAACCGGTTAGACGAAAGCGCGAGCTACCGGCACATCACCAAGTGTTTTTCTGTCAATTCAACAATCAAGTCAACAGGCTTTCCGGTCAGTTGACACGGATATGGAAGCATCAGTCTCCAGCATGGGTTTCAACTTATCATCCATCCAAACTGAACGGCACTTTGAACAACAAAAGAGTCGGGGCAATGTGAGTCTTGAAACAAAGCACGCGGTGTGTGCAGTTCGAAAAAGGCAATGTAACACCTAGAACAAGTGCAATGCGTCTGCATTTAAAAACCGTGAATAAGCTTTGAAGTCGCCACGTTTTCCCAATTATTTATTCATTGATACTAAAATGAGAGTTTGAGAAGAAAGAGTAATGTGAGATGGCTCGGCGGCGGTATTCAAGAAGAGAATGCAACTTGCATGCAAACCTTGATCCTGCTGACCGGTATTCGGATCAAGAACGGAATAGGACTAATTCTTGAAGGGGATCAATGGAATTTAGGGTGCAGTAGTGTTATGAGAACAAAATTTAAAAAAATAAGCAAGTGATAGGTGAGAAGGATTCGCAAGGAACTTCTAAAAAATTAGTCTACAACATACGAACGATCTGTATTTAAATCACTGATGAGAATGACGGTCGGGTTTGCAACCAATCATAGAAAGATCACCGAATGAAGTCATAGAATACCCTTTACACAGACAGAGGGAAAAACAGGGGAATGCTACAGGGTTATAAGAAAAGTGAAAATAATCGATTATCGAGTGTGAAACAAACAATGGGATGAGTTTACTCCCAAAAACATTGAACATGAGCGATCCAAACCAGATTGGTGTGTTCATGGCCACATTAATGCATTCAAACTGACAATAAACTGTGCAACCAGTCCAAGGCAGATGTTTGTGATAGACAGCGCGCATTCAAAACCATACCAGTGATCGATATAAATGAGCACGACGGAGAATTTTACCTTACAGCATTCGAGCAAGGAGCAACATGAAGATCCAATGTCACAAGCATCCGGATTCGGTTTATCCCTTCTATCATAAAAAATGTACGTCAAATCGCGTATCGGTGTCACAGTCCAACTTAATTTTCACACTACGGTCAACATAAACATTTAGCTACAAATCACTACCTCGGCATGGTCGGGGATGCGTGTCTCAGGTTGCGGCCTGTCACCTCTACCTTGCATCTTGCGAAAGTATCTCAAATAACCTCTGCTGAGGAAGCCGTACCCACTGCCTTCCCGTGGCGGAGGTGCTTTCCCACCAAATTGAAGGAAAGAAAATCCAGCATGCGGTACTATAATTGGGTCGGTAAACCACTGGCAGTTCAGCGAGGGAAATTAGCTAAAACACCCTTATTACAAACCAACCAAGAAGAGGCGTACGAACTACACAGACTACACGATGATTGTGGGAGCGGTCACCAGTGTGATTGGGCACCTTGGACGTTTGACCCCGTCCACAGAGTGTATGATCCGATGAACTGGACACCGGCTCCAAATGGATTGCAGTTTTCACACACACCGCTCCGCTGCCTTGTGGGTCAAACTTTGACTAGTCAAAGGTTCCAATTGTAAGTTCCCCAAGAAAATTCACCCAATTACGCCTAAGCAACTCAACAGCATCGCATCCATGAGCAAATCATGGAACCTTTTCTGGTGCAAAGGTAATTGTAGCGCAATTTGTTTGACACAATCTGGACTCAGTCATGTGTAAAATGTGTAAATACAATGCCAGTGGACAGTGCTATAGATTACTCCAGCGATACATGTAGATGTTCGACAGTAGCCGGATTTCTATAGTTTAATGTGAAGAACTATACATAACGTGGTCAAAAGTATCCGCTGCTCGACCTTAGAACTTGGAATACCGGTTTTGAACCTCGGACACTGAAACCTGAGCACATCACTCCGAGCGAAATGACACAGCTTGATCGTCGACACCCTCCGGAATACTGATTCGAGGAAACACAAACAACTGTGCTCCGTTCTATGATCAGCCACGTTGTTTCTCTGATCCTATCCCCCTTAAAAGAGCAACAGAGTGAACGGCATCAACAACCGTAACAGCAACACGGTGGTCACGATCACGAGCATGCATCAACGGGTACGCGCGCGGGCACGCACACGCACGCACGCACGTAAACACACCGGCACGTGCAAGCACAGCAGCATCCGACCGCATTCTCGAGGGATTTGATCAGTGTCACTCTCAGGTGTTTGATTTGGTTGAAGCTTCAGGTGGTCAAGCGTGAAAATATAGCAACGTGACACATAACACAAACCAAAGGTCGTCTGTGTGTACCGCAAATGTTTACACAATAAAAGCATACGAATATCTAAACCAACATCGGCCTCGAAATCACGCCTCGTTGAAATAAATATCTCAATTCTTTCGACAGATGTCCATAACTGTGATCGTTTAGACAATATACTACATCCGGCTGAATACAGAGGAACGTATTAGCTATTTTCAGATACAATGGGCCTGAATACGAATGTGTTCCAGGGGATGGGGAGAGCAACCGAATCGTATTTTAAGCCCAAGGGATCAGCAACAAACACACAGTTAAGTACAATCGTACAAGACCGAGTACAACCGATTCCTGGACGGGGACAGAATTCACGATCATACATAATCCATTTATGCTTTTTTGTTTACCGTTTTCACAGTCCCTTTGGGAAACGACTAAATGGAGAAGTGAAAAAAAACCACTGGCAGGATGTACACCAACAGGAGAGGAGAGGGGGGGGTCAGCATTATTTTGTTGTTTATGGATAACAATTGGAAAACCCGGAGAGGAAGTACAATCCAGATGGAGAAGTTAAATCTGCACAAGGTGAGAGAACATAAGATGTATAAACACTACTACCAACAAACACATTTGACTTGTTTCAACTATTTTTGTCGAACACAAGTGTTCAAAAACATCACTAACTCTTAGCTGATAGTCTGACTAAAAATACACCGAATACAGTTTGACATGAGATGTTACACGTTGATGAGCTTCAAGCAAACAATGGATGCTGATGGATCAGGTAGTACTGGTCGATTTTTAGTCAACACATTACCCCATCGATCTTGTATCCGAACCTCACTACCGTCGCCCTATTGTTCCGTTCAATATTTGGCAGCATTTAAACAGCCGAGGCTTCATTCCTCGATGCAGTTGTTGTATATCAAATAAGTGGAAGTTAAACAATATAGTCTGTAGACAGTGAACGATTTTGTACGAGTATATGGCGAATTTCATCGTGTACGGAGCAAAGTACTGTACAGTTGTTTTGACCCGTCAATAGTGCGAATTCATTAATCAAACTGAGGGCCGGGTGGTGATAGTCAAGTAAATAAAGTGATCCACACTGTGGACCAGAGGTCCTGGGTTCGAATCCCGCCACCACTACCACCGCCCATCTTTCCCATTCCTGTGTTCTCACAGGTACGGCGGTAGTCCTTGTCCTGAAAGTTGAGTGTACACTTGTGTACACAATAAAACAAAGAAAGTTAAAATATTTATTTTTAAGATCGAACCCGGGAGCCCCCCCCCTCAATCGTTGAACAGTCGATCAGATCGTTTTTCATTCTGGCAATCTTGTTGCAGGTATCACACCTCGCTCATATCAGCAGTAGTCTCCAGAGTTCTAACTCAGGTTTTGACTCTGCAGACGACGAAACTGTCCGTGTAATCAAACATTATTATCGCATTCTACTGTATTGCACCGGGTGATGCTAAATCTAGTTCGTATCACCATCCACATTTGAATGAAGCTGACCAGGAATTCAAACAAACGCGTGTACTCCAGTTGGGTTGTGGTAGTTTCAGGTCGGATCGATAAGCTCTATACTGATTTCCTCATCCGGTTTGACAAACGCATCGTCAATGCGGACAGTTTTCTCCTCACGTTAATTACCCATCTGATCTGTCTGGCAGACTAATGGCACTCAGCAGTTTTCGGCCCACTCGACCCGTACGCGCAATCGCATGGCACACGTTTCGCGTCATCGGCTGATCATTCAAATCTCAAGTCCTGCCCATCTCGTTACGGCGGTGAGAATAAACTCAATCGAATGGTCGTCTTCCAACCCACCCCACCTCACCCCAATCACCGCGAGCAGTAACCAGAAAAAGGGCGAGTGGACGACGGGGATGGTGAAAAGTAGGACCGAATGAAAGGCGGAATGTGAAGGCGGGTGATAGAGACGATGGTCAGCTTCTTTGTCCACTCTTACCTATTGACCTTTCACGCAGTGACCTGACCTTGGTACAATAGACCCACACTGATTGGTCCGTTCGTTGCAACCACGTGATCCAAACCTGTGCATCATTCCTCGATGTTCAACTCGACCTTTGTCGGGCCCAGATAAGACTGGACACTGAAACACAATTGCAACCGTTACTTCAGGCCTCTGAAAAACTCCAACAGGCGCACGGAACCACTCACAACCAAAAGAAGATCAATTAGAATTGTACAAATTGTTTTCCAGTCCACTGAATCTGCTTTTTTAACCAAGCGTTTGAGAGGCTGTTTCACTCAACCCAGTTAATTTAATAAGTTTGCTCCCAATAAGCAAAAATAACCGTCTGCTGGTATGCACATTTGACCGTTTGTCTAAGCACACACAAGAAAATGGTTCACCTGAGGCAGTTGAGCTGTACAGAACACTCAACAGAAAAGAAGAATGTGCCGTAAAAGAATCAGGAATATTTTCGATAAGATTTTACATGTGTTTAGCGTTACGGATGATGATCATTAGTTGGTAAACATTCTCACAATGGGGTTCGAATTTGCGTGCCATCCGTTCGATCAACTACCATCACCAACCCTCGCATCCACAAACCGTGCGGAACAGACCATCACGAACATGGCACGAGCACCGGAGACAGAAAAGGTCTCACGAATAGCGTAAATAATATGACATCATATGAAAAAGGCATAACTCGGGTTTTAAAGCCAAACAGACTCACCGTGATGTTACAGTTATCTGGGCCTGTTCGTATCGATCGACAAGCCTCGTGGATCTGGGATATGAGACGGTGGCGTGTGTTGTGCGGTGGGGCGAGGGGGAAGGAAGCGTGATGAACAAACGGGAGCGGAGTAAACTGTGGTCAAACTGGTATAAATATGGTTTAAACGTGAACAACAACAACAACAACAATAAACGTCTTTCCTGTAAATTACAAAAATTGTTCAATAAAAACGATGCGGTACGCATTGAATAGTTAAAAAAGACACTTAATACATAAAATACGCTTCGCAAATGTCGACCTGAGAAAATCTTGTGGGTTGAGCAGATATAAATGAGCTGTGTGAACCAACCTCACCAAATCGCACTGTCATAGTTCTATTTGGCATGATGCACACACACACACACACACACACACGAAAACGGAAAGCATCCCAATGACAGGAGACAGCGTAATTTGTCTGCACGTCACGTGTGTGTGTGCATGTGCGCTCGCTCGCTCGCTCGCTAGCTCGCAATCGAGGTTGATGCAATCGGGGATGTAGGGCCTCGGTTAGTATATTTTTTATTTTGTCCACGAACAATAGAACGAAGACAAACAAAAAACTGGGAACAAGTAGAAATAAATGCGAGTTTGTTTGTTTTTTGTTTGAATGAGCCCAAGCGATTTTCACAGGCATTGCACTCCGTGTGTGTGTGTGTGTGTGCGGCCTGGTGTTGTGATGGTGGGCTTCACGTCCTGGGTAGATCAGTCACTTCCCACACGTGTCGCTTAGCACACATACACAATATTGGTTGGGAAATGCAGAAAAGAGAAGAATTACCAAAACTAAAAACGAAGGAGATGCGGTTCAATTGGTTGACATCAATCAGCAAGATCCGATTTACTGTACAATGGCGTACACCGATGCTGTTATTTAACTTTCGAATCTTGCAAGGCATAGTGCGGAAATATGAAGCACACGAATACTGGATTCAATTCAATCGACTAAGTCCTCATGTCTGTCTACAAAAACGGGAATCACAACAATCAGAATCATTCCCGTAAGTATGCTACATTTGAAAGCGTACTAAAGTCTGAGCAAAGTCTGTAGTTGATAGAACAAATTCAACACATCGTACCCAAGCACGAGTTGAAACAACCGATTTGTTCTGTCGAACTTCAGTTCAAATTACTTGACGAGAATCGTTCAATTTAAAAATTAATTAATCTCTAATTAAT